GAAAGAGATGAGCTAGTCGCAGAACCCCAGCGCTTCCAAATACGACTTATGAGGTACTGCTAGCGTTAAAACCTAAAACCTTCGCCACTGAAACGCCTCCTATTGCAGTGATTAAAACACTGCCTCTCACCATCTTTGTGCTGCTTCGCATATTCCAAAGCTTATCGTGCAACTCATACCTTCAAAGGAAGGGATATTAACCGAGTCTGAGCTGGATGAGCGGGCAAAAAACCTGGTTCTCTTCTACGAGCACACAGCAAACACATATTTTCAACGCAAATTTTAACTCTAGCGCTTTAGCATAAAGACGAGTGCTTATTCAAACGAACTATTCCATAAGTCAAACCACATTAGGATATTATGATAAATAACCAAACAAAAGCCACAGTAAGCGCTGAACATAAATGACACAAACCTTCAATCTGGCTCAATAATTGTTTCCTAGCGGGATTTTTCCTTTCCATATCCGCTTGTTGAGAGAGTAGGACGCTATCAAACCTGAAAAACGTATCGGCTCCTTGATGGAACACAATTTGGAGCGGTACTACACAGCCCGCATGTGTGCGTAAAATCTTTCTACGTAGAGAAGAGGTGGCCGTTCATTGAAAGCCTGACAGGACGCTATCGTCAGGATTTACGGATTTGGTCTTATCAGTAACAGAACGGTTCACTCATAAACTAGATCCCAGAAAAAAAAGCTCCAAGACCTGACCCTAAAGACTTTCAACTCATAAATGCATGACATAGATCCTAAAACTTACACGTGGTTTGTCCCATTTTCATGCGTCATATTTGAGATCAGGACGAACACAGCTGACACATCCAGATTAACCGGAGGTGGTTGCGATGGCTCGGAACCATTCGTTGGCACTCTATCATTCTCTTCAACGTCATTCATCAGCATCTCCATAAAGTCTTCCGGCACTTTGGTAATTGAGTCAATTGGAATCTGAACTTCAAAACACCTTCAAATAGAGCAGAACCAATCGATCTTACGAATCACCTCGCATTTTCAACAGGTGGTGAACTTATCTATGGCAGTTCGAGGTTATCAACCACAGAGATAATCAGAACCAGAACTTCGCAAGTGGAAAAATTAACGATGGGCTGACCTCTTCTCCTATGACGATAACGCCAAGAGATCGCAACTTCGACGCCATAGCATCGGGAACGCCAGCGACAAATTCAAAGACAACTTCAGGTGCGCAAAAATTCCTTTGAAAAAGTGCGGCCATCTAAAAGAGCCAATTTCAGAATGGAGAGATGAGCTGGCGTTGAATCGTATCTAACAGAACATGCAACAAAGACAGAAAACCAGGCTGATCTTACATTTAAGTAGGTATCGGCTTGCTCAAAAATATTTCGGGAGCTTCCAGTCAGCCAATCCATACAAATACCTTTAGCCGAGCGTGAAATGACTTTTACCTGAACATATCTAGTGAAGTTCATGGTGGAAACACAAAGTAATTGAGAAAGATGATGAGATGATTTCCTGTCCACAAATCGAGGCAATTAGGCGTGCCGTCGTCAGAAAAAAGTGTATCTTGGTTTTGTGCCATGTATTTGTTCATGCCTATTCACGTGCGCTTCTAATCTGCCACATACGTAAGAGCAGTTCATCCGCAATAATGCCTGTACAATGAGCCTAGAGCCTAGTTAGCCGATAGCCTAGCTTTACCAGGTTTTCAAAAGCTTCAACTTCAATGTGACAAAATAGATTCAGTATCCGTCGATACAGCAACAAAATACGACGAGAACTAGACCCCACGACTTTCTTGCAGTACGACAAAGTACGTAACGATACTGGGGAAGAGAGAGCGCATGACTGCTCCATGTGGACACGCTAGCAGCTTATAAGATTTTTTGGTCTAATGCTCTCTACAACTAAAATCCAAACGCAAGTATTTTAGGTAGGCGTATTTACCTCCGAAGTAGAAAATAACAAGTGAAAAAGCTCACCCACTGATCGCCTCTCTTTGCAACGATATCCACTGTATGCTTCAACACCCTAAAACTATAATATTAGCGAGACCATAGAAAACGAGTCAAGGCCAATTTGCTCTGAAATTCGCCTACTGTTAGGCCTGATGGTAAGCATTGTGACAAACCTGCCACTAGCAGGTTTATGACATCCTAACCCGCCCAGGTTCGGTAGTGCGGTGCGAGATATTAGCTAAGCTCGCAGCCCCCGTAGGTATTTCGAAGCATGCGAATATGAGCGTGTTGAGAAGCTGGGTGTGGTCGCAGCCGAGGCTCAACATTTAACACTGTCGCCATTTGTCTTGGTCTGACCTCTTTCCGACGAAATAATTCAAATCGAAAAAATAGTGAATAAGAACTAAGTAGAAAGTGGATAGCGTAACTCACGAATCCGTCTCTGGATCAAGAATAGAAAATGTGTGGAAAACAGCCTGAACCCCATGAAATCGTCCAATACCAGAAACTATATTTTCGAAATGTGTCACATTGCTTGTCTCTATGTATTTCCTCTCCAATGGTGTCTTACCAGACTCGATCTAAAATGAAAGCTCAAAGAACAGCATCGAAAGAACATTAACAAGATCTAACTGCAGCAATGTTAGAATGTGACAATGTTATGTATAGCCCAACGAGCTATTTAGCCTCCACATGACGTCGTCCTTTTCTATTGAACGTCCAGAATACACGCCTTGCTTCTACGCAACTTCTCAACCCTGGGCAGTACGCAATCGCTTGAAAGATAGTTATTTATCCCAATTGCATATGATCATGGTCGGATATGAGATGTGCAGTTTCCAGGTTAGATACTGTCGGGGGATTAATCACAAGCTACGGCTAGACTTCGAGAGGAGGAGTCACTCCATTCCAGATGTAAACCTATTGATATGAATCACACACAGAGGATCTATAGGGAAGGTGGAAGGCAAATTCAGAGTCTTTGAGATACTTTAGAGCTTATAAGCGCATGATCAAGAGCTAACCAGATGGTTGAGCCCTAACGTTATCGATTGGTAGAAAAGACCGCGATAAGGACATACAGAATGTGTGCCTCAGGAGTGTAGAAAATATTTGAAGAACCTTTAAATGCTCACCCCTTCGAGAAATTTCAGTTCACTAGCAAGTCGATTCCGCAATTTGCTGACTCCTTGTATGGATGCATATTGCTTGCCGAGAAGTTGTTGTTCTAGCGATCGAGCAGCTTCTAGTCGACCAGTCAGAAGCATCGGCAAGTCTTCTTCGGCTGACATTCCTATGTCTAGAAAAAACCGCAAGTGATCTACTACGACAATTAGAAAGTGCTCCACTACACATATTACCACATATCCGTTGATTTTATTTAGTTCAGCCTATTAAGCCACTGATGGACAGCAGTTTTTGTGTTCATTTTTCCCAAACCGCTTTTTAACGATTTGGAGCGCATGTACAGAGGAGCAGAGCTCCTGGCCCTCGTTCCAGTAATCTAGGAATCTTCGCAATAGAACGAAGAAAACTTGTAAAAGTAAAGATCGCATTTTAAAACTCGAGCTACTTAGTCTCTTTGTGAGAATTTCCTGGCAATAATAAAGGAAAGGAGAATCAGAAACCTACCCCACACCACTCTTACTAAAAAAAGACTCGGTCCTTCACCGAGAAATATGGGAAGCTGACAAAGCAACCTTCCTGGAGGGAGACCTTTTGCCTGTTTCCTCAGACCATCCAAACACATCCCAGTACCAGCTGACGGGGTTGACGGCTAGGTATCCACTGGTCGAGGAACGTCGGCAGCCACTACCGAGCTTATGGTTAGATCGCACGACTGTTCGTCGCTCAGTCCTACTCGCCTCCTACCTTACATCGTGGCCGAATCTTCCCAACAAATCTAACCCTATGTCCCCTCAGGAAATCCAATGCCGATCCCACCAAAATACAGTCTATCCTTGGACAACAGATCGTTAAAAACACCCGACGTTGGCTGACGAAGGTGAGTCATATTGTCGAGTGAAGTGTTTTTTGTAATGAAGTGTCGGGTAGAAACTTGGGGTGTTTGGAGTCTGGAAGTCATTCGGTTGTCCATCTCAATCATATATCAGCGCCTTTTGTTCACAATAAGGAGTTTTACGCTTGAGGCCCGTGCGCGTACGAGGTAAGCAAGCCAGCCCTTTTGGCGTTTCGGCTGGGACCGTATGCTGAATGTTTGGGGAGGGGATGGGGTCCCCAACGGTCGACGGTTTACTTCAACTCGGTTGGTACGATAGGAGAGTACTGACGCAAGTGGTGCAGCTGGTCCAGCAGCTCCGCCAGAAGGGCTGGTTTGCTCACCCCAGGACTAAGCCTTGGAGAGGGGACGGACCCGTCCTCTCTTTAAGGCTTAGTTCTGAGGTAAGCACCAAATTGTGGCGGTTCTAAGGACCGAGTTGAAGTGGTCCGTCCACCGTCGGGGACTCCATCCCCTCCCCAACATTCAGCATACGGTCCCAGCCGAAGCGCCAAAAGGGCTGGTTTGCTTACGTCCTCGCCCAAGAGGAGTCTCTCAGAGAACTAACAAGATAACGAAAACAATCGTCATTTCGCTCCTCCCCAATCCCTACCGCTCCGTGAGATCGTTTTAGCTTAGAATAGCTTAGAACCTCTTCAGAACTAATCTGCTTCTTACCTATTACCTTCACCAACTGGAATCATTTAACGGTAACGTACTGGTGTGGCAGAAACACATATCGTTGTCAAAGATACCAAATCGTATAAAGAACTTTTATCTTAGTCACCAGTTTGAAAGCAAAAAAATACTGTTGACCTGTCACCTTAAGTAAAATTAGCACCAAATACATTAAAAGCTAAATAATGCACAGTGTGAACAACCAGGAAAGCTTATCCGAGTGAATTATCGTAGACATGAAAGCTTTCAATAGCAAGATCACATATTCAATATACGAAAAACCTGTAATCTGATAATCAACGTTAGTAGCGCGATACCTTCTGGAAATAACACTCACAAAGTAAAACCAGTTTCAAAAACTATACCACATGATCCAAAAAGACCTTTGGATGACAATCGAAAACGAATTTCGAAAGAAAAGGAAAAGACTAATGTTAAAGGCAGATTATGGATCAAAAGGATGGTAATTCAACAAGAAAGTGGTACAGAAATGTTTGTGCAAAAACAGTGAAATGAGGCGATATGATATAAGCCGAACCCTTCAAGCATCAAGATATGAGCGTAATTTGGATTAACTACCACCGGATAGAAGATAGTGAGGCCTATAGACAGATGATTCTGACTATTTCCTGTCCAACTCGAACTACACATTTTTGACACGCCAGACAATGCATCGTAACCATGTGCAGCCGATCCGTTTTCTATCGCAAAGTCAATTCTTTCATAAATGAAGCACGACGATATCATGGGAGAAGCCGTCCACTAAAAAGAAATTAGAAAGAAAAAGAAAAGAAAGAAAACACAATAATCAAAAGCCTGAGGAAGGACGCCGAAATTGCTATAATAACATTCTACTGCATTATATGAGGGAAAATAGGGATCCAAAGCTGCCGTATGAGATGCCCAAATTCCTCGACTGAAACCCAGAAAGAACAGAATGCAACGTTTAACCATTCTTCTCAATGTTTCAACTTTTTTTGAAAACAAGGGGGGGCAAAAATTGTAGTTACGTTGCTCATGAATAGCAACTAAGCCAGCTCTGCATTCGGGAAGCCACTGAGCTTCCAATTGGAGGTGGATGCGCAGTATATACCAATTCAAGCGATTTCGTGCAACGCAAAATGATTTAAAACAGCCTTGAAGAACACCGTAAGACCACTTCAGGTGAATCTTCTGTGAGTCGGGTAGAGTTGTACCATAAAGTTGCAGGTGTACCATTCTCCTTGCACGGAAGTACGAAGTACGCGGTGACGGAGGGACCTTTTGCCCAACTGACTTTGAACCATCCCACTTTATGCTCTGTCGCGTTCTGGGCCTACCTTTATGCACGTTCAGTGTCTCAGTGCCTCAGTACAGCCGGAATGACAAAAATGAGTAAGCCATTAGTTGGCGGATTCTTTTCTTTTTTTCTTCATTGAGGGTCCACTTAGTACCCTGTCTGCATTTTCGTGCGCAAAAACCACACCAGCTAGATGGAGGTGCCTTTAAGAACATGATATGAGGGTTATTGTTTGTCTCTCTTGGTAAATTCGTGAGCGGTAGCGCTTGTTTTTCACTCACACCGAATGCAAAGCAAAGCTTTCCTTACCTCGCGACACTTAGAGCATTTCACGCTCAACTTATCCGCAATCATCCTCAAATCCCAAGGAAGCACATTCTGTCGCGCGCAGACCTAGAAGTTAAAAATTTCACAGTTCTTTCGAAATAGCGAAAGTTACTGGCTCAACTTCTGAATGCTAGCCCAAAACCAATCTCATATAAGAAAATTGCCAACACGAAAAGCACACAAGAGTGGAAGAGGTCAAAAAATTACACTAGACCGAAACACAGCCATAACTCCGATCACCTATTCAACATCTGATCAAACTTAAGCTTTTTTGACATGGGATTAATTGGCCGGACCAAGGAAGCCAGCTTCACAATTGAAAACGACTTTAAAGAGTAGTTCTTTCCTTTAGACAATTCAACGAAAGATGTAGTCTGTTAAGCTGTGGCATAGTCAGATTGGTAATCAGAGTAAAGCCTAAAGCATTGGTAGATAAAAAAGTAATGCAGCTTGACAGATAGCGCCGTGACTTGATTTGGCAAATGCTAAAGCACAAAGTGACGAGACGGAAAGCTCTTCAGGAGCGAGTAATCTTACGAACAAGGCATGAAAGAAGGTTATGCGGGAAAAAGAACAAACGAGCAAATGGGGATAACTCACGGAATTACCAAAAGGATTATTATCACAGTCCAATCTTTCAAATTTTTGACTTTTGAGATCATGAGGTAAGAAAGTGATGCGATTATTATCAACGAATAAATTCCTAAGTCGCATATCGGACATCTGAAAAAGTGAAATGGGAAATTTCGACACCCTCTTCTGGGAAAACCTATTCCACGATTTGGAAACTCACATCTCTCGGTAAGCTGCTCAACTCGTTAAAGCTGAGGACAAGTGTCTGAAGATGTCGCACTTTCACGATGGAGCTGGGCAATGTCTTGAGACGATTCATGGCTAGACTTAGGACTTGAAGCGATTGTGGAAGTGATTCAAAGAAGAGAGGCTAAAATTTCACTTCTAGAGACTTCATAAATATTCGTGCTCTGATAAGTAGTACTGCAACTTAAACTGAAAACAAATCAACCAACTAAAACTATGGCCGTGGCTAAATGCAAGAGGTAAGGTCAAGGGATTTTTACGCGAGCCCTATCATGCTGGCTACCACAGCCTGCCTAGCTTTAGAAGAAACACGGACCACGGCTCTCAATGTTTCTATTTGATTATCTTCCAATGAAAGAACACGTAGGTTGCTTAACCGCGATATCAGCTTTATTTTCACGAAATTTGACGCCTGTCCAAGGCGGTTCCGCGACAAATCCAGCTGATAGAGGGTTGGTAATGAAAACCAGCGGCTGTCGACGCTATCGATACCTAAAAATGAGCACTGCTTTGAGATTTGATAACCCAAAGTACTTGTGTAAAGCAGCATCTGCACCTCAACCCGATGTACCTCATGCACATTTAGATAGGTGTCAGACTTTGCGAACGCACTCGCGAGGGGGGGGATTGATTCCAGTATCGTGAAGTCTGCCACCTACCTTATACATTGCTCTTGGGGCGCGTGAACGCTGACTTGTTTCTTATGAGAAAGAAACGAGTTTGAAGTCGGATTAAAGCACTAAACACAACAATATCAACGCCTACCCAGTGAGATCAACTCCAGAGTCTCCAACGATGACGGATAAGCAATCCCAATCAAATCCTCCTTTTTCAAGACACACAACTTTTTCGGTTGAACTTTGAAGTCTGTCGTTTTCACCTGAACATACACTATAGAACTCTGACAGTGACTCTGACGATTGGACCCGTTTGTAGCTCACTTTATCTAACGACTTCAAAGAAACATCATCGCCTTTTAAAATGTCCTGGAAATTACGGATAAAGCGCTGAAGATGTGCTGGGTTACTCTGAAAAAGAAACCATCAAATTATAGCATTGTTTACTGCAACGAAACAGACGTCATGTGAAATGAAAATAAACTTACCTTCATTATGAAAACTGAAACGGCAGGGTTGTTGAAGGCAAAGGAGGCGCGACCTGATGTAATTCGTTGCAGGTGCAGTTCTCGAATATTATTCGGGGCTATCTGTAAGAAAGACTCAAATCGTATGATCATCAATATAGGGAAAGAAAAAAGAATAGGGAAGAATAATCAACCCTCTCAAGAGATCTTAGGAAAAATGCAAGTAATCGTAGGATACTGTAATAGATTCCGACGAACCACAATATGAGGTTAACTCTGATATTTGATCTACGAGAAAGAAAACGTGTAGATGGAGCAGAAACTTTAAGAAAAACCAGAAGCTCAGTTTTGATGTTTTGGAATGAGCGAGGATGAAGCAATGATGTTAGAGCGTATCGATACGTTTTTCTCCTCTTGAACAAAAAGATCTAATAAAGCAATTTGACTGTCCAGTGCCAGCTACAAGCTGTTGAGCCTAGAAAGCTAAGAGATGAAAACGGCGTGGTTCCAACCTTGGTAAAAGGGAACTTGTGGTTACGTGCATATTGTTGCCTATGCTTTGGAGAATAAGAAAACCAATCAATGACTAATGAAGAAAAGGAAGAGCTACGCAAATAAGATTTACCTCAATGGGCGGCGCTTTAGTGTCACGTCGGGTTGCCACATGTAATAGGTACCGCACACCACTCTGAAAAAAAATTCAATCCGCACCTAACGAAAAAGGACTAGTGTATGTTTTTGAAAATGAAGAAACGGTCAGCTTTCCTTGTTTCTATGAGCACAGGCAACTATAGACTTGGTCATGATTTACTTCAGTTCGGTCTTTCCCAGTGATTAGTTTCACGGGTCACTATGGAAATTACCATCAAACCATTGTCTTGATTTATGAGATGAATCATGCATGTCGAATGACTTGCGTCTTCCTACTCTATTCTACTGCATATGATCGACCCAGTCCATCTGTCTGCTTGTGTGCCTGTCACGAAATTCGTTACCCAAGAACAGTGTTGATTTTGGGACGGGCAAGCATGGGCTGAGATGTATACAGCGCACATAGAACTAGGCGGAGCCCGTCTACGATGGGCGTGGCAAGCATCAAATTGGGCGATAGTGTAGGCAATACCTCGTGATTAATCTCCAAAATAGCAGAGAACGGTGGGTAAGGCGAACTGTGAGGTCAAGTTAGAGTGACCGAAGCGATGGAAAAACGGTGCGCTCTCAATCGAGGAAATCATAGCTTGTAATATGACGACTTGAAGAAGGAAAATTGGTGAAGTTGAAACCAATTCTAATGTGTACCAACCATAACTATGTGCAGTTGTAATGGGCAGGGGAGCGCACTTAAAGTGGGAGGCACGATTCTAAATGTGGAAGGCTTCAGACTTCCCATGAAACTTTGAGCTGAGCCTTGGCGAAACGACCAAGTTGGGATGATTGTTACAATATGAAGACCAAAAATGTTACCTAAACCCGCCAAGCAAGTTGTGAGCGTTCAAACTGGTCCGCGATCAAATTCTCCGAGATTACAAAATTCCTGCATTTTGATTGGCGCTTCCAGATTGGTGTCAATGCACCAATTCCAAAAATGATATCCCTCGCAAGGCTTTCACCAATTACCATTGAACCAACGCAGCATTTGCAACCAACCATCCATAACTTCCTTGACAGGTTCACGTAGTAGTTGTGATCTCGACATTTTAAACCAGCCTTGCAGGCTCTACCGATTCATTTAGAAATTAATTCAAGGTTCCTTGGTGAGTTGGAAACTTTTCCTGGTAATGCACGGACTTGCTGCCTCAACCTCACAATTCGCTTCCGGCTGAAATAAGACCGTGAAAATGGGACAGAGCCTGGCAAAGGAGAAAGTCATATACCATCGGTAGACAGAATGTGTCTCCAAGTGGACAGAATTTGCATCCCCGTAATTCAACTCCAAAATAGCCCGAAGATCGGGGAGAAATGGAAAAGGCGACTAATAGAAATGGCGATACGCAAGCGGTGGGAGGAGAATGCCCCGCGACTTACAAAAATCTATTCGGTTGCCGCTCTTATGCCGCCTGAAGACAGTGTTGTACTCGCGCCTCCGGTCGAGCTTTGATTTCACAAATTATACCACTTCGAAAAAATGACTCTCAATAAAATAAATGTTTGAAAAAATCAACAAGTACCTTAGTGTGATTTTTGCCAAGCCTCACAATTCCTTTACTACATTTGGACGGCAACGGCAAGCTCTTCGATCCCCCACAGCATCCTGCTTTCATCACCATAACATCGCATTCTAATCGCATTGCACCACCGTCCAAACCCTAATTCAGAAGGTTGGAACAATGCCTGCATTAAAATCAACCACACAGCAGTTCGTCACAAATAAACCAATATGGATAAGACCAAAACTCGTTAGTAAGAATAAGAAGCTTCCACACACTTTTATCTAGACACAACCGTATCACAAGCTTTCAAACAGCTTGGTCCTATTAGCAAATCATAACAACCAGATCACTACAACCGCCACCAAAGTAAAACAAAAGCTCGTTCACATTGAGTAATAATTCCACCCACAATATTATGTCGGTAAAAGCAAACAGATATTAAACGACAACATTCAATGGTACCATTAGGAGGTTTTTTGGATGTTTCTATGACAACTTCAACAGGGTAGTGGAATAAATAAGAGAAAGGTGAAGGATGAAGCAGAAAAACACTTCTTAGGCACTACTACACACTAAAAATCAACATATCTACATCTACACGTGAAAAATCGGAACATAACTATAAGAGATTATTGAAAGGGTAGCCCAGAATGTGAATTTTCACAGATCGATTTTTTGTCAACTTTTCCTAATTAATCCGCAATATTAAACAAGAATATACAATTTGTCCATATAAAGTCCACCCACAAACAAAAGCGCAAATAATTATAGTACAGCTCTATGCGGCACCGACGGTGCTCGATTTTATCTACAGATCACGCCTTTGCATGTGGCGGCCGGATGAGTTAGTCAATACATGACGATTTTTCCAGAATATAGAAGATGAAATACTTTTTGTCCTTTCACAAAACTACTTTGAAAATAGCTCAATTATAAATAATTAAATAAATAAAGCTTGTTATAAAAGAATCTGGTTTAAAATGACTAGGAGTATCGATAAAGCCGACTCGCTGAAAACTTTCGGATAACGCTAGATCAACCGATCAAACAGGAACTAGTTTCCAACAAACACTAAGCTATCAAACCTACAACAGCAACACGCTGTAATGTCAGTTCGGTATTAAAAGCATAACAACTGCAAGTTAATTAGAATCCGTATATAATGGACTTGCAATAAAAAACGAAGAGAGCAACATAAAAAAGAGCACAGAAAGCATAAAGAAAATCTGCAAAAGAAACAGGAAAATCGGATTAGTATAGGTGTTAGTACTTGTCGAAGGATCTTTTTAAAAAATCGGAACACTACTGTTAAGGCGCTATGAGAAGGTGCAACTATCAATTATCTTTCGCAGCTGGCTCAGTACTGATCATCTCTGTAACAAACCAAGCCGACTGAAGTGCATAACGAATTAGGAATCGCTCGCAAGCTATCGACGATATGTACCATACAGGAATATATTCGAAAGTAATAAGTCCCATGAAATGATAGTGGAAATAACTGAAACAACAAGTAATTGTGAAAATAATAAAGAAAGGTGATACCAAAACGGTATCATATACGTAACACACCTTTCGTAATCCCATGGGCAGGCATCCCAGCGCTTCAAGAATAGGCCAGTGCTGAACTCCCAAAAATAGCATACAAAAACGTAGATTGCGGCACGTAGAGGAAGTGGAACTATATCCTATAATGAAAAAAAATTACTTAGCCTCACTTCTCAGGCAAAAAACATCGAGATAAACGTCACAAAAGTTAGGTACACAGGACAAAAACACCAAAGGTAAAATTATGGAGAAGTAAGAGCAAGAAAGAGGTATCATCACAGAAGATTAATTCGATATTTCGCTTTGAAACTTGTCGTTTCATAGAGCAAAGTAGGAAACAGCTCACTCTGCATTTGACTGAGGGGGAAGGAAACTGTGAAATTGAAAAATGAGGTTAGCACAACAACTTGTGTTGAACTCTCCAATTTTTCAGTTGAATAATTAGTCTATTGAATACAGAGCCTATGTCCGAGTCAGAATATGCGAATCCAGTGATTCGCTAGAAGCAAGCCCGGTGAGTCGTCAGCAGGCGATTCTGCGGAATTGCTACTAGCGAACAGCTGGGTTCGCAGAGTTTGACATTGGCCTAACGTCTCTCTGTCCCTCACTCATGACATTCATTATTAACCAAAAAATAACCTAGAGAGCCCAATTCAACTTTTGGATGGATGGGATATGGGCCACGATGTAAAACACACACAAGTGAGCGGAGCCCATCCACCATGGGCGGAGTATGGACCAGAAAGGGCGCTTCTGACAGCAAGTGTTCCTAATTCTGTGCCATAGCAACCCAGAGATCGAGAAAAACGGGCAAAGATGGTGGTGGATGAACATATTGGTGGGTGAAACGAATATTATAACACATCACAGGTGACTCTACATGAAGCCTTTCTATTAAAATCAGCCGAGTCACTACAATGGCCGGAGCGCACTTTTAACTGGGTGGTGCTTAATACAAGAATTCACGCTTTACATCCATAAGGGATAGAACTTGCGCTGCGATATTTCATATCGCCTTAAGCAATAGGTGTTTTATCAGAATTTTTAAAAGTGGCAGGGTTTATTACCGGATTAGACTGGAATTCACATCTGTTCCAACAATTTCTAGAAAATGGAAAGACTCGATGAAGAGGCTATCAACAGAACAGTCTCTCCATGATGTATGGGGCGTACTCGAGGTGGGCGGAGCCTCAATCAAAATTCGTGATGTGATGGTCTACGAGCCGAAAAGCAAGTGGTGGAAGCTAGCGACTGAGAAGGGATCAAACTTCTATAGCAGATGGCTCTTCGTGGCAAAAGCCCTATATGAAAGCACGCCCTAGCTGTGCGCACCAGAGCTTACTGCTCCATATTCTTCAGAACTTAGTGATACATACCTTGAGGATCAAGTAAAGCTTCTCCAGTAGTAAAATTGACAAGCCATACACAAAGAAAATGTACATGGAAGTCACGCCGATCAGCTTCCGATTTCCATGCTCCACAGCTTCCCACGTTGCAGTGAAGCACACCTAAAATAGCATATTTGCCATAGAAGGTTAAATCCAGGAAAGAACGGCGGAATATCAGAGTGTTACTTTGTATATGGGCTTGTCAATTTTCGTTATGTCACATATCAAAAGCACGGTACCCCTACAAAGTCCCTCAGAACGATTCTGAAGTAGGATGTTCGCGCAAAGCTGCCCTCGAATAAATATTAGTAGAAAACATTCCCACGCGTGTTTTATTCGCCGCTCGCTCTCCCATTACGCAATGTCACGAATCACTTAATACTTTACGCTTTGCACATTCAAACAACAGGAAGTATTAGCAATTCCAGACAGCTGGTGAACCTATGTACCCTGCCCCTATCGCTCTTGACTCATTTGAAAACATTACAAAACTACCTCTGCTGCGAAGCCAAACAATCCATAGAGGAAGAGTCGCTCATAGATATTCCACGGCCGATGGAGAACTGCTACCGTCATTGCACTGGCCCTACATCACAATGCTTTTGAGGAAAACTCGTATAGTAATATCAAAAACTTTCTATCGACACGAAAAGAAGTGGAGGAAGAGCGCAACGCAATGAGAGTGCGAGTGAATTCAAAAAAGGGGAGAAAGTCAAGTTCAAAAATGCCAGCGTCATCACTTCAGTGGTTAGGACACCGCATTTGTTTGCACTTCTCTCATCATTCCCACCGAAACGCAAGTCGTGTAGTCAAAAGACGATGTTATTGCTTTTCGTGCTTTAGAAACCGCAGGAAGCGTAGAGCGAGTTGTAAAAAGGTATAGCGATGCATTTAGGGGATGATATCCTTTGACAAAAAGAGAAGAGAAATAGAAGAAGTAGCTAGCAGTGTAATCAACACTAATTCACAATGAAAACTGGTAGCTGTTGAATTTCGTAACACCCACAGTGTTCCGTTTTCACACAGAATGAATCAGAGCTAGCGCAGGATCACCATGGTAGTCGGACTATCAACGGCTTTCACGAAACGGACGTAATGTGCAATTGCAGAGACGTTTAAGACATTGCTCTCTGTGAACCAGAGTTGAAATCCATTTCGAAAATTTCAACTGGTACCATGATCAAAATCCCGAACATCGTAGGTACTGCAGCGCAAAACTGATCGGAGGTGCCTGACATAAAACACGAATCATAAATTACATCCATTTCATTCACCGAAAACAACAACAAACATCATCCTTATTACCTTACTATGCCGTTGGGGTACAATTTACCACCATCGTATTACAATGACTATAACCCAACTACACATACGCCCCGAAGAAAGATGAAAACACAACTATGTCAGCGGTCCCATGCTTTCTTACTTGAACAAGGCAACATGATATACAAGCGAAAGCAACTAGATCAGACAAAAAGAAAAAGCAAGTTTATATTCTCTGTGAACTCTGAAAAATCTCTTCACTACAAACAATAACGGAGCAAGAGAACTCAGTAAAAAGCCGAGCTAACAAGCTCACATATCACAAGTAAATAAGTTTGAGAATGATTAAGTAACAGAAAAGTTGCAGACCTAGAAATTTTCTGGAATAGGACAGTTTTGCTCATATCCTAGAATAGGAATTCGATCTATAAAGTCCCGCTCAGAAAGAAGTGATAAATATGAACTCGGCTCGCACTTTGGAGCAGTGGTGCAGCTTTTAATACTCTCTTATACTCAAGCCGGCCATGTATGAACATTTCCCCGATATGTTACGTGTCAAAAAGATAAATTGTGTGATTTCAACAGATAATCTGCAAAACTGACCAAAAATCTTGCAAAACTGACACATTATCTCATTGAGGTTCCACATACATGGCCGGCATAATATAAAAGGAATTTCTTCTTAAGAAGGACTATCCATATCACAGCTTTACCGTAGGAAAACTCATAGGCGAAGGTTGATCGTATGGATTATTTACAATAACGATACTTTACAATGCACATCAATTACAATGTCTGAATTTCACCAATGCATTGAGTGCAGTGCAGATTGTCCGCAGCAGTTGGATGAGGCGGCTTCTGAACAAACAATTCTCCGAAAACATTCAATGAATGAAATGAATGAAATCAATGGCACAGTAGGAGTAGCGTGCACACGTGCGGCAGTGTTGTACGAATATGTGCGCGCAGAGGAATAGGGTGACCTTTCGAAATGGTTCGCGCTCCTAGCACGAGGTAATTAAGGTCAAACATGGCTGCGGCGTGGAAGGCATTTTGGTTTGACCACCTTTGATACAACGCTGGTTCCTATATGCCCCCCATGAATCAAGGATCTCTGTACGGGTTTCCTTTCCACAGAGAAGGTCACAAAATAATGATGGTTATCGATTATTATCATTGGTAAAGAACGAAACAACGTACACTGATATCCGTAATAATTTGCAAGATTCTTCGCACTGCCGCATCAGTCTCAGGTACGGAATTTGGCGTTACCGATCGCTGTGTTTTCTGCATCACTGATGGCCCACCGATTTCCACAGGTTCCACGGATTCACTTCGACCTTCTTCGCTCAATGCATTCTCGTCCTCAGAACCCAGAGACGATCTGGGAGGTACCTGAAGAATATCACAATACAATACGATGCCAACTAAAAGATCTGTGTTCCATTCAGAAAGAGAAACACCTCCATATCTGAACCGTTCACAATCACATCCTCATCTCCACTAAACTCGTCTACTGTGCTGTGGCTGTATGATCGTGCAACTTTCTTCTTCGGTCGTTTTGCATGGTTCGAATGCGGTCGATCTCTGACCTCATATTCCTGCAGTGCTTCCATCTAGATGGAAGGGTTTGGTTTTGACTAGGCATGGTTAACAACTATCGCCTCAAACAAAAAATAGAGTAACCACAAGCAAGTTCAAACGACACTAAAACTCACCTTTAACGCCCCAGTACGTGCAAGCACGTCCATGAGGGCCCTCTGCAGCTCCTTACATCTGAAACGGATGAGGGAGGAATAGACAATACTTCGCAATGAAAACCAAAAGAAGTGAGAATCACCAATTACCTCTCTAGTGTACGCATTCTGTCTGCTTCCATTGCTGCCAGCTGTTCATCTTTAGCGCGTAAACGCTCTCTAATTAAACGACGCTGATGTTGATACAGCACTACATGGTCAGCAATGGTGTCGTTTTCTAGCTAAAGTAAGTCTCAATTACGACACGATAAAAATTCTATCGTCGATCGAGTAGAAAATGAGAAGAAAGATTAGAAGTAATGAAGGTGGAAAACAAAGTTATGATTACAACAACGTGGAGGTTATTGTAGAATGTTAAGAAGGTCATAGAACAGGTATGTGTGAATTAAAGCAATCAATCAGAAAACTAAAATCTGATCAGGTCGATTGAATGAAGCAGAAAGGCGTCACAATAGAACAACCCCTCCCGTTTGAGTTCACAAGCATGAGGATAAAGGATACAACATGCGACATAAGGAATAAGGTGATGTTGCAGGAATGTGTGAAGCATTAAGAGAAATAGTAATATAATTAAGAAGTATGATCCTTATATGTGAGCAATTAAGAGAACAGTCTATAACTAAGACGACAGTACGATCCAAACACGAAACAAAACAAACTCCTAATTGTCAGATTGATTGTCTAAGTTCTAATGTTTCGCGCACAGACTTCAGCTTACTATATTCATTCGCGCCTAGGCGCAAAAAGCGTTTTCGGCCAAAGAAACTCGAGGCTCTCGACCCATTCGTCAACTACCCCTCGAGCGGCTACATTTCGCCCCATTATCAAATTAAAAATTAAAGACGTGATGGCGATACACATTAACAAAGTGTAGTCAAATAAATAAACAGCTACAGGAACGAGATTGAGAGCTAACAATATATTCGAACCGGCGAAGCGTGATCATGGACAGACGGTGTCAAGAACATCCGGCGTAGTATCCTGAAGATCATAGTGGTCGTTGGGTCACGAAGTCCAGAAACAGTGAGTTAATATAATGGCGCGCTTACCTCCGCCCAACAGAACACTATCCAGCTGCGAATCTTCGTACATTACCTGCTCAAATATTCTGAAACCACCAAACTAAGAGTCGAGGCAGACATAACATCCCCGAATCATATGACAGAAGATAGATATGTATCACCTGCACAGCGAAGTGGAAGAAATCATAAGATCGAAGATTGAAATTAAGTTTTGAACCAAACTGAGGTATAGTCAGCAAAATAGTGAACGCACAAAAAAGACCTTAATGAACGGATAGATTTTGTTATAGAAGCGTGCGCAAAGCATTAGCCAGCGCGGGTCTGACACCGAGATACAGGACCTTTCTCGATCGATAAGCCTATAGGATTAACTGTCAAACATCTGCTCAAAAGTGATGTAAGACGCGGTGACAGAGCATCGAGAAGAGGAAGCTATTGAACAAGGCACTGATAATTCCACAGACGAAGATCATAATCACTATTATGGACAAGATTTCGGGCGGCGGTGATGCAAGACGCAGAGATTCGCGAGTGATGATGTATTATCCCAGCAAACCCTCTTGAGGCGGACAACCGTTCTAAACAGCTGAAAGGCGCGCCCCCAATGAAACTCTGATAGTCCGGGCGAGAGAAGTCAAGTCTGAGGGGCGAAGTTGCCAGGGTTTTTTTTATTAGAGCGGAAGACCACGTTATAAACTCGAAGATTCTGTAGGCTAGCATCGTCATCAGAATCGTGTAAGGTACCCGATTGTTTGAATATATAGACAAAGTACCTCTCGCAATTTCTGCCTAATAAAGCTCGACATCTTGCCAACTCGGTGGATCCCGCGCGATCGATGCTTGACCGAACAGTTCTAACAGATAAATATTTATATTTTGATCTTCTCTTCGCGTTTGCACCGGTAAGAAGATCTGATCAAATTACATCGTTCCACGATTACTCTTGATAGAGACGTGACTTGCGGCGTAAATCTTCTCTAATCTTAACAAAATTTTTGTAGTTGTTTAGAGAGACTATAATACATACATTCCAGATAAGAAAAAATTTTGTCATCAGAATAACGTCCACAAGAAAAGAATGTCTACAAAAAAAATAAGTGGGCAATATCATCAGACAATTTGTATCACTAAACGTCGAGTAAACGCAAGACCTACAGTTTTTGGCAAAGACCACATACACACCTTAAGAGCATATCGTTATTGTATCTTCGGAACACCGCCTTCCTCTCGTGACTTTATATACAACGAGAACATTCACACTTAGACCAAATAAAGGCATAAATGCAGACAACGAACAAATTGTACGAATGGGATGGTTTGCCACTTGAATCTACTTCACATAGCAGTTGCATGAAACACGATTCCGTGGCAAAGCACGGGTAGCTCGATGGTAAAGCAAGGACAGTATCCTAATTGTGATTGTATGGCGTGACGGAATTAGAATAGTTACCAGAACCAAATGAAAAGAAAGGAAAACTATGTCGCCTCCAAGAGAAATACCTGCCACTGGGAGCAAACATTATTTAACCTCTTCTAATAGTTGGTGCTTAGCATTCCAGCTGGTTCCAGCATTTGCTCAGCGTTCACCACCCATCGCGATACATCTGAACACAGATTATGATCTACGCCCACAAAAAAAAATGCTCGTGCAAGTCAACGGAGACGCATGAACCCTTGTAAGACGGAATACAGCTTAGTGTAACAACCTGCAACACTTTCAGATCGGTCGCGCTCCGTTTCATCCCAATCCTCCGTGGACCGTGATGGCTCGAGAGACGTAGCTGGATGTAGCACTGCCTCAAGAGCACCCGCTTTGGACAACAGCGGAGCCGACTGTAGTTGCACTGATCCAGAATCAGTCTGTGAAGCCTGAAACAGACCGGAGGAATAGAATCAGCGATGTGACTAATGCGATGCCTAAAGAAGTATAAACTCAAGAGCAACTTACTCTCGCACTTACTTCGGTGTCGATCCGTTTCATAAGTTCCTTTACTTGATGCTCTGCTGTTTGACGGGCTAACTCGGAATGCAGCTTTTCTTCAGTGAGTGCAACTAGCCTACAATTGCCAAAAATTACGAAAATGAAAACAATGTATATAATCGCCGCCCATCTCTGGGAACTACCAAAAACCGAGTCATGTGAACATTTTTTTATATACAAGAACGGATCTCGAGTTAGCCTTCTATGTAACTTGGTAGTCGGATTTCTATTTGAAAGAGGGGTTCGCGATGCGGTAACCTTTTTATCATCCAGCAACCCACAAGCTGCATGGTCACCTACCTGTCCTCCGTCTCAAGCAGCTGTTCCTTGAGCTCTCTATTTTGAGCAACAGCACGTGATACAGTAGCTTTCTCATTCTGCAGCTGTTCAGACAGTGACAGTAGATCCTGAGTTTAGAATTAAAAATAATTCGTGGTACCGTCTCGGTTATTAAAGAGTAACCTGACCTTGAAGGCAAAAACCATACGAATGTAAACAATAAAGACCACTAACCGAGCCACTCGCTCGTGTTTCAGCTGAGCGCTCTTCTAGCAGACGCAAACGCATCTGGAGTTCGCTGATTGTTTGCTCGCGTTCGAAGATCAGTTGGTCCTAAAAAAGGTAGTGTTGAAAGGACGATACCGACAAAAGACTCATAAATTACCTTGTTTCTCAGCATAGAATCAACCACCCTTCCTTCTTCATCGAACTTCTGCTGCCACTCAGCATCTGCGCGCCTTTTCGCCTCGTTGACTTTGTACATAAGATCTTCTTCAGTGAAGGCTATAGCACTCTCTTGTAGTCCCATGTTCATAGGTAGAGCAACGGACTTGTTTTTACTTTGTTCCTATAAACTACATCAGTGAAAACGAGTTAAAATTTGCCCAATCCACAGGGAAAAAGTACTGATGACTGAATGCCGCACCTTTTGCAGAACAGATACGTCGTTTTCCAATTCCTTAACTCGTAACAAAGCCGCATCTCGTTCAGATGCTGCTTCTGCAAGCTGAAACATAGACGCACTTATCTATGAAAGAGGCCTCGCAGATAAAGGTGGACAGAAGAGCAACAGCGTACCTCGTTTGCTATTTTATCGCGTGTATTTACAAACTCCAAACGACAAATTTCATAATGCCGGCTGAGTTCTTGACTATTATGGTGCATTTGATCTCGTTCGTTAGTAAGAAGTCCGACTTGTGCTTGAAGAGCGTCGATTCGATCTTAATCATACTACTTACTGACAATTTGAATATTCCACATAGCTCAAACGTCACAGGATCTCTTCGTTCCTCCCTTCGTTCCAATCCGGAAAATTCTATTAGACTTTAGTGAAATTTTTTTAGAGGTTGCAAATCATTTATTTCATTATCTTTCAATGCAGCCGCATTCTAATGAGTTGAGACTGCTAGTGGGAAAAATTTAACAGATTCGTGGCAGAAGTTTGCATGACCTTCTATCGAATAATCTGCTCGTTTTTTCGTGCGCTGCGAACTTCATGTGCGCCATCTCTGGATACATTGCGCCCACAGTTCTCTTTTTCAGAAAGACCGATCGAAGTTCATCCTCCGCTAAACAATCGTTAAAAGCGCTAAAAAGCGATTTTAATAGTGACATGATGACCTAGTCACAACATTAGCAATGTCCACGGAAACACCCCGATTTGGCTAACTAGGAACGCTTTCTAATCGGGGCGACGGATTCCCTATTATACAAAGACGACCCCCCCGCACAACCCACAAAGAATGTTTTGTGCTCTGTAAATGCTACCTCAACTGCAAAGAGAAATACCAGCTGACATCAAAATTATTAATCTCACCATGTAGGGCTTTGATGGTGTTCTCGTCGCTCATGTTGTTCATTATTCCATGCGGGCCCAGTTGCTTCAAATAAATTTCCTTCATATGGAGTTCCTTCCTCACTTGTTTCAGCTCCGAGTCCAACACTTCTTTCTCGCGGGCAATGACTTTGAGACGAGCCTAAAACACCGAGCCTTAATAAAAGTATTACAGAGGAGTAGGGATGATGTTATCAAAGTAGAAAATTACCTGCGCCTCACTCCTTTCATGCTGGACAGCCAGAAGTTGTGCTTGGGCATTGGCTTCACTCCTTCTGAGACCATCGAGTTCTACGCTGCGGGCAGACAGAAGATGCTCACACTCCGTCCACAACGGTTCTGCAGTTTTTCGACTCGTCACTCCGAAGAACTCATCTCTTGCGGAATAGCTAATGTAAAACAATCACAAAGCATTGCTCATCAAGAACACCTTAAAGCACCAGTTAGAAAGCCCATCGATTCCAGATCTTACCTTTCACATTCAAAAATTTTTTCTTCTGCTCAGATCACATTTTACATTACGTGTCATTCTGACTGCACCGAAGTTTTTTCCTCAACAAGCACTGCAAGCGCCTGAAGAACAAAGACTGAGAGACAGTATATCGAGTTGAGCAAAGAAGCCATAAGTGGCCCAAAATACCACTAGCTTGGTCAGCATCTCACCGATTGAAGTTGCTGAATTTGCCTATCGGCATCGGAATGAACTGCACTCAGCTGGAAGAACTGCGGTACCTGGCGTAATCATACACTGAATATACATAATGTGCTGAATACCGTAAATCATCAGTGAGTTACAAGGGAAGGGATTAGCGAATGGCCGTCAATATGAGTATAGTACCATGTGATGCGTCTCAGACGCTGATTCCAAATCTGCCTTCCAAATCTGCTAAACGACTCTCCGAACGGAGTTATGAAGCGTAATAGCTCAGTGGTGATGGTCCGGGGTGGCAGGTAAAAGCTCGTAGGATCGGTTCCTTTGCAAGTTTGTTGCTTTGCTTTTGTCCGCAACACTTCTAGAGACAAAGCAAAGCAACCAAATTTGCAAAGGAACCGATCCTACGAGCTTTTACCTGCCACCCAGACCCTCACCACTGAGCTATTACGCTTCATAACTCGCTCGGAGAGCGTTAGGCATATTGAATGCAATTTGTAAATCATCGTCGAGCAACATCAGATAGTTACATCTCATTGAACGCTCACATCGACTACCTCCTTCGCTTGTTAGAAGCAATACCACCGGACTTGAACACAACATCGCGCAGGCCTAGCGCACTTTACCATTTGTTCGATTGCGCGGAACTTTGTTCATAAGCGCCACCGCAGCATCACGTTCATGTTGCAGTTGGGTTCGATCTAAGTTTACAGGAAGTTGCTGAAAATACATACCAAAACGTTTATGGTCTTGAAATTTCATAATAACAACTTGAGTTTACTTCGAATGATGTATTTTAGCAATTGTGTAGTTACTTGTTCGAATTGGTACAAACCAGTAAAGCAACTAACTTGCTCAGGAATGTTGTAGGAGGAGACAGCAGTGTTATGGTGGCCATTAGTGCTTGGACGCTGCAGTACCGGAGAGCTGTTGTTGCTCGCACCAGTATCATTCATCACATTTTTGAGAGGATTATTTGAGGCCGACAATGCAGGAGAAGAATTCGTGACGGAATCCTCTGTGACACTTATCACATAGGGCTGCTGAAGAGCAAAAAGATGGTGCAAAAACTAAGGTATAATTATATCTGAATATGATACCGAAGCCAAACGCAACTATGGAAAAAGAATGAACTTGAAGAGTACCTGCTGATAAAGCTGTTCGGAGGCAACACCATCCATCATACCAGGTGAAAACATGCAAGTTTCGTTGTTGTGAGCTAAATAACAAACGTGAAACACAGCAAAGACCGTCATTCGCCCCCTCCCCCTAAGGAAGTATAAGACATGGCTCCAGATACTGATAATAGTCCAAAATTAATTTTTTGTCGCCCCTAACGTGCTAGAGCAAAACCGTCTTATTGAAGAAAGCGTGGCCTAACAATGGGCCACACTTTGATCCATAGAAGTTCGTTTTTTTTTTCGATATATAAGGGACTATTTATGATCCATCACTGTTCATACACATAGTCGGATTCACAAAACAACACATTCACCACCAATAATGAAATTATGTAAGGGAAAATGACTAGTGATGGGAGCATATAAAAATAGACACACGGCGAGTACCATGGATACATTGAGCTCCTCGATATGAACCATTTCCTTCAAAAATATGAACGCGCTTCATTCCGTGTTAGAATTTCCAAAGCAAAAGCAGGGTTTATTAAGAATGAAGTGAATTCTGTATCAACTGAACTTTCCTTATCGTTAGGGTACAAATCGATAAGGAGAAGAATCCATAGCAAGTGAAAACTTCGCGCTACAATGTAGTCAGAGAAACGAAAAGTTCGAAAATTTGAGAAAAAACACTTGTTCAGGCATACCGTTGTGTGAATGGTTGCTGTTCACAGATAAGCGGCCATTGTTCGTGTTATGTTCAGCAGTTGACGCCAC